ATGTAAGGTGAATATTTTTGAGATCACAAGCAATCTGCAATCTCTGAGGTAATACAATCTTTAATGAATAAATTAATTTAAATTTGCTTACTTTCTATCTTACTGCCTTATTTAAATGCATTTTAAATATTGTGCACTCATATCAACTTCAATATTATAGAAAATACCGTTTGCATTTACTAAGCGCTCTTAGAGACGCGGGTCATCTCTGTGGTCTTCCAAAAGCGGAAAAGGATCATGCTAGAATACCTCGAAGGACAATATTGATAGAGGGCTACATAATAACGTTAAGCTGAACAGAAAGGACATAAAAGAGGTACAATCGTAATGTGCAGGATATCCATTAAAGCAGGAAAATTCAGTCAATTTGATCTGGATCTCATAATGAGTTCTTGAGTCGATTCATGCTTCTAACGATGAAGGATGCGTTTCTACGGACTTACTAGAAGCAAACCTTTGGTGAATGCTTTCGACGTAGATGATGTACTAATGTTTAGGCTACGCAGAGAAGTAGAACCGAAAGTCGAAGCGTGGGCAGTGGTTCTTGATGAAAAAAGCTTCGTCTTATAGGATCAAAAGGGCAAACACAATGAAGATGATTTGTTGGTTTAAGTTGACTTTAAGAGTCAACACAGATGCATACGTTCACAAATCGGCTACCAGAATTCCGCATGAAAATAAAATCAATAAGAGAAAAGGAGCAGAATAAGAAACATGAGCGACAGTTTACACTGAGAGACACTTCACCGACGACATGAGGAACTGTACAGTTTCTTTTCTAGCAGTCGCTCAAATTCTTTGTCGCCTGTCGATTAAGAATCACATGATAAAGGGTAACGAAGAGTTGTGAAATGCGTCTTCTACTCTGAAAGATGTGAAGCGATTTCTTGTAGCAACATCATCGAGTAGCACCTACGAAAGTCTCGATGTATGGGGGTAGTAACGGCATTCATAACAATAGTAGCAGTTTGTTGTATCAGATCTCCCATGTGCAATGCACTCTGATATCAGAGGAATATGATGAGGGGTATTCGTTATTGGTAAGGCCTTAACAGTAGTAGAATTACGCGTTTGTAATGTGTATCCACCGATATCCACCGATAATGTGTATCCACCGATAATGCGTATCCATCTTCAGGTGTCTGTTAGATACTACGCCAAGAAAATTTAATTCATTCTGTGAACTTCAGGTTTGCGTACGTGAAAGACTGACACGTTGGTAGGTCCAGTGGGGTGGCTACCTGTTTTCCGCAGTGAAAAACGAAATCTGCAGATTTTTCGGCGTTGATCATTGATCCTGCGTTAGTGCAGTAACAGATTTCCTTAACTTGAATGACGAATCCATGATGGTCGGATGTACGTCAGAACTGCCACATCATCCGCGTATTTAACACATTTCATACCTGAATTTACTCTGCACCTGTTGGTGTACAGCGCGAACAGTTACAGTAACACGTATCATTGAGCAACACAAAACCTAGCGTTGGATGCTCCAGTTTCAATGCCGAATGCGTACAAACTGCTGCAGATGGTTAAAATTTACCCACAAAAAGTTAATATATAAGGGAGGGGATATATAACCGTTGACGCTAGAAGCTGAATCAAGTCATTGCGTGGCACTTTGTCACAGTCAGAGCCCACATCCAAGGAGGCTGAGCGAATTATTTCGTAATCATTATCGAGATTTCATGCGAGAAAGTTACTGATGGTAGTGATCGTATCAGAAGTTTACCTCCTCTGAGAGAAGGCGAATTGGGGTGAATCCATGTGCTGCTGAACTTGTTGCCGAATATGAAGTGGCCGGCACTGTAGAATAAATCCACTGCTCAATGGAGTTAACAGTTAATAAAAAAAATTTTATGCTGCTCTCAGGTTGGAATTTTGCAGTATTCCCTTGTCTTGATATGCATGACATAAAGAGGTAAAAAATTACCACAGCACCTCAAATGGGGTCGCTAGCCAACTACAGTTTCCATCTACACTGAGATTCAAGCTATGCAAAAGAACTATTCACTCGACTATATACCTGCAGCATAGATGTAGTTGTGGTCGTTAGTCAGCTGGACACAGGAGCTGGCATCCGGCATGCCGAAATCTTGAATGAGCTCAATTCTTCGTTGCAGTTCTGAACAATACAGTTATTAATAGAGCATCAATTAGCATAATTAACGCAATTAAATAGTTAGAAAAGATAAATTACCGACGTCTCCGCGAAGCAGCTTTCGCCTTTTCCTTTCGGAAAGCCACTGAGAAATGAAACATTAAAAGCTGAGAAGAAAACTGTGCGAAATCTTACTTCCGGTAATGACTTTCCTGCTGTGAGGTTGTAAACCTTAACATCGTTCAGGAAAGAGACCAACATTTTGGGGCGGGCGGTGAGCACTCCATCAGACTACTTCATAGCTTGGACATGTTCTCTATGCAAATTCGAATAAAATATAAATATACCAAACAGAAAATCAAGTACATAAAGCGAACAGGTTAAAATAAAGCTTCATTTTAACAAACAGTTCTAACTAAATTTATAGCTCTAGTGGTGAGATTTTATTGCTTGGTTTGAATCATAAAGGTATTTGTTATCACAACAGAAAGAAAGAATATACAAGTACAAAATAAACACAGACAACTGAAAAGGTAATTCAAGTATATGCTAAAAACAAAGCATCATTCAACAACAAAGAATTTGGTGCAATGTTTACTAAATTAAATAGCAAATACAGCATAAATTAGAACAAGAACCACTGAAACATTTTTTGCAGCAAATAATTCAGTAGTGCAGCTATGCCTTCGGGATCTGTGAGAATCTATGATCTGCTAAGCGCGGAAGTTCAAGTTCACACATTTCTTTCTTGCACCGTAAACACCTAACAAACAATGGAAATGTTCGGTGAACCAAGGACATCTATCGCTTGAGAAAAAATCAGTGACAGTGCGAACACATTCAAATACCAACAGTCTGGCGAAACGTAAAATCGGTTGACAAAGGGTTGTTCCGCTAACTTTAGAGAAAAGTTCTAAATGTCACCTTAAAAACTGAAAGCTGTCAAAGAGGAGGCCAGGGGAGATAACTGCTGATGCGTTGTGTATTAGATTAGATATATTTATTATTGCATATAGCAATACAGATAGAAATGAATATGAATAGTAAAATAAATGAATATGAATATATATATATAATCCTTTGGTAAGTCACAAACGGG